TCAATAGGGAAAGAAATTATAGATCAATATTCCTATGAAATATGACATATTGTTAAGAAAATGTTGCCAAGTTATTACTCCCATTATTACACTTATTTTTTTCATTATGGTTTGCCCCAAGAACACATTCAAATGAAAATTTGATGCATTGTATAGAATGGGAACACCAATTTATGGACATTTTACACACATATTCCATAAAGTACAGTAGTATATCAAATCATGCTATTATATCTTTCATAACAGTTGAGAATCATCTTTGTACAAAGTTTGGCTGAAAATAGCCTGAAACCTAAAAGCTGATGGTGAATGGAAAAATAAAACATTGCAATGTTTTTGCCTATTCGTGCATTTTCATGTCTATTTATTTATTATTATTTTTACATAATAGTCCTGGCATCCTCTAGGGCATAGAATAAAATATTAATAAAATATTTTTTTTCAAAGATTAGTATGTTATACGTTTGTCTCTTAAATAGCCAAAGATGCTAGTATGGCAATAAAAACAAACAAACTAAATAAATAGTTGACTATGAAAAGAAAAAAACGAATCAGAGAACAAATATAACAAATACAAATCAAAAAGAACAAAAGATTTACTTTTTTTTGTAGCCTATAAAATTCCTTTGCATTTTAGTGTTGCCTACAACACAGTCCTTCCCAAATGGCCCCTTTGTTCCAACCAACGGTCCATTTGGGAAGGACTGTTTTTTCATTATGGTTTGCCCCAAGAACACATTAATACGCAAATTAGATGCAATGGGAAAAAAATGGGAAAACCAATTTATGGCCATTTTACGCACATATTCCATAAAGTACAGTAGTATATCAAATCATTCTGTTATATCTTTCATAACATAGTTGAGAATCATCTTTGTATAAAGTTTGGCTAAAAATAGCCTGAAACCTAAAAACTGATTGGTGAATGAAAATATACAACATTGTTTTTGCCTATACATGCCTTCTGTCTATTATTTATTTATTTTTATATTTATTATTTTATTCATTATTTTATTTTTTAATAACTTGGTGTCCACATAGAATAAAATATGAATAAAATATATTTTTTCACAAATGTCTTTTTTTTTCTCCATTTGTTTCTTATGCTCCAACCAATGTAATGACAAACAAACAACAAAATCCACAAAACTTTTTTCTGGTTCTCAGGAGGATATTGAGTTAAATGGTTATCTTGTAAATATCGATTACGTGCATGTCTTTCACATTTTACTGCTGAAGGTTAAAATTGTTGTCATCTTTTACTGTTTTCAGTATTTTTCTGTTGACAGTTCAATTACGTTTTAGATTAGATGTTGTAAATGGGCTTTGCGATGAAGCCACTTTATGTTTAGAATTTATTATTTTTATATATATTTAATGCTTTGTTCTATTACAGTTCTCGTTTGTGGGTGTATGTTATCTTACTCTAGAGCATTTTAAGTTTGTTATTGACTTTGTCAAAGTTGAGATAATGTGGGTTATGCATTTTTCATGTCACCTTTTGTAGAGACAAAATATCATTCAAAATGTGCAAGATTCCAGAGATCCGTTATTTAATTTAGTTTTTTACTCACTGAAGACATAGAGACTTTTTTGATCAAATGTAATGAAAGCAGGGGACCAAAATGAACTCTTCTTGTCATGAGTGATAATTATAATAATAATAATTTCGAAAGTTGAAAATTATTTGCCGTTTATTATTTCTATTACAATTGTACGTACAATTATACGTTTTAAATTATATTTTTAGTTCTAATTTTTTGTTGTTGAAATGTCTTTTATTTGAGAAGTACATAGCACTTTTTAAAATGTTAATGACATTAAATGTCCATTCTCTGTTCTTAAGCAGCAAAGCACAGTTCGAATCACATCAAGTTCGACAGCGGTGGGTGTCATCAGTAAGAATGACGTGCCAGCATTAGGTTAACAGACTAGTGCAAAACCAACAACCTGTCTCTGAATGTGGACAAAACATAAGAGATGGCTGTGGATTTCAGGAATTCAGGATTTGTGATCATCACTCCCTGCTGAACATCAACAGCTCCTCCGTGGAGATCGTCAAGAACACCAAATTCCTTAGTGTTCACCTGGCGGAGAACCTTACCTGGTCCCTCAACACCAGCTCCATTACAAAGAAAGCCCAGCAGCGTCTCTGCTTCCTGAGAAACCTGAGGAAAGCCCAGCTCCCACCACCCATCCTCACCACGTTCTACAGAGGGACCATTGAGAGGATCCTGAGCAGCTGCATCACTGCCTGGTTTGCCAATTGCACCGGCTCGGAACGCAAGACCCTTCAGCAGATAGTTAGGACAGCTGAGAAGATCATCGGGGTCTCTCTTCCCTCCATCATGAACATTTACACAACACGCTGCATCCGCAAAGTCATAGTGGCCAATCACACACACACTCTTCACCCTCCTGCCATCTGGAAAAATGTACTGAAGCATTTGGGCCCTCACAGCCAGACTGTGTAACAGTTTCTTTGCACATTCCATTCGACTTCTCAATACAAAGGGACTAGACTAACACACACACACAAATTCATTGAAAATGTCTATTCTGCTTTATGTTGACCAACTAAAAAAAAATCACAACTGTATGCAGACTGTATGATAAAGAATTGTAATAAATTGGACAAGAATTAAAGTTCGCTGATTGCTTATCCTGCCTCAAACATGCAATTTAAATATAGATGTCGATACTTTATAAACGCACAGTAATAAAATCAGTTGAAAATTTAATATTTAACGTAACGTTTAAACCACATGGTCCAACTGGATGAAAATAATGTGAGGTCTTTAAAATGTATGAGAATAGAATAAAATAAAAAATCGAATGTGAATTTTATTGTAAAAGGCAACTGCATCATATGAAGGATGTTTCTAGATTAATATGCTGATTAATATAAATATGCTTAAACATTTAATGATCTTTTTGAGTATTAAAAAAATACTACTTATTTGTAAAAAAAAAAATACGATTGATACAAAAATATAATATTTTATTCAGAAAACAGTTAAGTAGATAAAACAATGGTGCAACGTAAAATATTTCAGGGAGGACAAAAGATCAAAGTAAAAAATATCAAGTAATCAAGGTTAGCTATCAAAAATGTACAGCAAGAACCAATCTCCAAAGTATCAGAAACTAGTTGACAAAAGAACACATTGCACAGTGTTCACGGTGGTTAAACAATTACATATTGCCTGTAAATCAGTGGAAATTACTATAGGAGACTGTTTGGTGTTAGTGAGCATATCAGCATTTTCATCTACTCTTGACTTTTTTCCCATTTTTTTAACATTTATTTTATAACAACAGAACAAGGATATTCTATAATGACCTAGACAGAAGTTTCATGCTAAAACTAAGTAGACAATATTCAGTAGCAATTTGTTTCTATTCTAACATCGGTGTGATTTAAGAGCAATTTTGAAGGCGTAGCTTTTACCACAGTGTGAGCAGCTATATGGCTTTTCTCCAGTGTGGCTTCGGAGGTGTACATTAAGAGAAGATTTTTGAGAAAAGCTCTTTCCACACTCCATGCACGCGTACGGCCTCTCGCCAGAATGAGTGCGCTCGTGAGTTGTGAGATACGTTTTCTGAGCAAACCGTTTACCACAAACTGTACAGACGTAAGGTTTTTCTCCAGAGTGTTTTCGCATGTGTTTTGTCATATGGCTTAAATACTCAAAGGTTTTCCCACAGAACACACACTTGAATTTCTTCTTTGGTGTAACGGTCTCATTGAAATTCAGGTTATAAGGAATGAATCCAACATCAGGGCTCAAATCTGACCATGTTGTGCTGTCTCCTTGTGTAGAGATCATTCCATCAAGAGGTTGTTCTTCAGCTTGTGTCTGGTGTACGTTCGATTGGACTTGGTCATCTGAAGGTATGGTGTATGTGATAAAATCATCAGAGCTTTGGGCGACACATCTCTTATCACTGATCACTGCAGGTCCTGTAATTCAATAAATGACACAATGAACATCTGAATATAAAAAAACAGTTAAAAGGGTAGTTCACCCCAAAATTAAAATCTGCTGTTAATTTACTCACCCTCAGGCCATCTAAGATGTAGAGGTCCTTTTTTCTTCGGTAGAACAGTACTTTTTTTTTTAGCTGAAACCGTGGTCCTTGGTGATTCATAAAATACGAAGTCAATGGCTACGTCACTTTGAGAGTCAAAAAAGGCGTATATAAGGGAACAAAAAATGAATACCCACTGCTCCTGACCTCTATTATGGGCCTTATTAAGCAAAACGACTGATCTGTGCAAAAAGCTAAATATTATTTACAACATTATTACATGTAATCCATAGCCTCAGACAAACAGGGAAGTCTAACAAGTGAATAGACTAGTCTTAATCAACACACCGTTTTATATAAACAATGAGAAACCATTAAAACTTACATTTCACCCCTTCATTCAAGTACTCTGTTCACGCATGCACATATCACCACCAGCTCATCAGTCTTCAGTATGAGTCTGTACCGTTTCCTCAGTTTAGTGACTGTTGGAGGAACTGGAGCAATGAACGAGTTGGCAGAAATCAGCATCATAGGATAATTTACACCGGTATTTTGGCTCATTTCGAGTCGGTGACTCACTGTAAGGCACGTCCGAAAGTGAGTTTTGGTTGAGTGACTTGTAGATCTGGGCTGCTCGAGCCGAGAACGGTTTCAAATGGTTCAGTCTGATTTGGTGAACCAGTACTAAAGAACGATTCGTTCGCGAACCAGACATCACTCCAGACCTTTTGCCCGAGGCTGTGGATTACAGGTAATAGTGTTGTAAATAATGTTCAGTTTCTTGCACAAACCGATCGTTTTGCTTCATAAGACCTCAATGTATCATCATGAGCCGCGACTGTGTTCCCTGATATGCTCTTTTTGACTCTCAACTGACGGTAGCCATTGATTTGCATTTTATGAATCACAAAGGACCATGGCTTCATCCAAAATCTTTACAGTTCTACTGAAGAAAAAAAACTCATCTACATCTTGGATGGCCTGAGGGTGAGTAAATTAACAGCAAATGTTCATTTTTGGGCGAACTATCCCTTTAATAGCAGCCGTTTCTCTCCACAAACCTCTTAAACTGCTACTTTCGTTTTTCCTAGAGCAATCGTCATCCTTCAGTGTCTCCTCATTAATCATAATCACATCTGGTTCTTCATCCAGCAAATTTATTGGCTAAATTTATTGACAATACAGAGGGAGTTAGTCAGCTGTATTCTGACATTGTATTAAAAAAAAAAAACGTAAGCAGTATGTTAGACCTACCTCTTCTGTGTTGACTGATGAGTTCAGGTGTGTGTCGTCCTTCTGACCAACATTTGACTCCTCGTGTCTCCAGAGGTTCATGCACCATTCCTTACCGAAGACACTGTAAATTGTGGGCTGATGTTCAGTGTCTGTTGAACATGTGGTCATTTGTTAGGTTAAACCACTCAGGTCATTCTCAAGAAACAGAGCCTTTTGTGCCTGCAATTTTGATGTACAAATCCATTTCAAAATGTTGCAGCTGAGCTTTTCAAGCCAAAAGGAACTGATTATAGTCCTGAAATATACCAGTTGTTAATATATATTTACTAAGCCTATTACCATCTCTACTCTACTTAAAATGCTACATTATTTCAACCCAGTCACAATCATTTTGGAATAAATGTACCACAATTGTAGTATTGTTGCATTTTGGCATGCCTTGAATAAAATCATACATTTTTTATATCTTATTGTAAAACATTAGTGCCCTGCTCTAAAATGTGCTTTTGCTTACATGTGATTTCATTAGAATAACTGCATAAACCCAAAGAACTTCCACAGTTGCAAATGGTCATCAACTGTAGAATGGGCACGGATGGTGGATCCTCTGAGACCCATCTCAGACAATCGGATGTCTGAAGTTCATAAACACATCACAACTGTTACAAGAGGAGCAAACATTCGGGGTGGTAAATTGTAGCGGTTTTATAAAAGGTTTGCATTTACAATCTTCTGGGTTCATTCCTACTCCACTGAACCCAATGTGTTTCATATACTGTCTTCTTCATTCAGATCTTCAACATCCTCATTATTCCTCCTCATCATTACTTTCTTTTATTGCATGCATTTTTACAACTCTGTTCCTGGGGTTGAAGGTCAGGGGGACAATGCCAAATAAATGCCAAATGAGAAAATATAATTACATCACACCAAACGCCTATAAAAGTTTGATTAGAGCTTGACTACACCATGTGTTGTGTATGAATATGTGTGTAATGAAACAAAAATGACAACATTTCTTTTGTATGAACTCAGTAGAAAAAAATTTTTTTTTATTATGTCACTCTTTTAAATATTATTTCCAAAAAAAAAAAGATTTTGAAGTGTAGAAATACACGGACGGCAAAGGACTAAAGTTAAGACAATTTTAGTATTTTCTCAGAAAAGCGTGCTTTTATATATAAAAGCGTCCATTTAATATGGACACAGAAATTGGCGAATATTAGGCCTACTGCAAAAAATATATATACAAAACTAATTTTAATAAAAAAGTAAATACAAAACCTGCTCTTCTAAAGTTTCTGCATTACAATCTATCAAATAATGTTCATTAATCTGTGAATTATATCAGTAGTCATTCACGAGAACAGACACCGTTTCCTAAAAATGACCCTACTTGAAGTGTCATAAAATCCCCTTGGCACAAGTCATGAGCAAGCAATTAATAATCCCTCAAGTTACTCAAGGGCACAAATATTATCCTATGTGGGGTATGAACACACAGCGTAGTTTACTAGCTCGGGTCTTTAATTAGCCTGCACATCCTCATGTGTCCCTCTATCTGTGTTTAATTTTGGGCAAATTCACAGTAGCAACACGCGTTTTATAAATCACCTGCAAGTCCCGGAAGGCGGGATGATGGAGCTGTCCTCTTCGTCTTTCCAAACTTAAGTTCGTTCTCCAGAAAATGACATTTCTTTTTCAGAGATTCATTTTCGTTTGTACAGCGTGAAATCTCTAATCGCAGCAACAAAGAATTCTCCTCGAAAAGTTTGCCTATTTCAGCAACAGCGGTTCTCGCCATAATTTCCATTATGGATGTTAACTGCGTCTGAAAATCACCAGTATTCATGATGTCCGTCGCTTACGAGAAGCTTTAAAATGTTTGGAGAAAAATTTGACTCCACTGTACTCTTAATATAGCTGTTTTTTTTTTGGCAGTCACTGTCCCTATATTCAGCACAATGTTTCTGTAGAAACAAACCATAAATAGCGTTTGGCTGAAAGGAATCATGGGATGGATTACCGTAAACCACCGTATAGAAGATACGAGAAAAAAATGCAACTGGGTTCAGAATATCATCGATCAGGGAAATAAAAAATTAAATGTTATATTTATACGACCACGAAAAGAACAAGAGTATATTTATTTTAATAATAAGCTCAAATTTGCCTTTTGGAATGATGGAAGAACATCAAAGTTTTTTTTTCTCCAATAAAACATCAGTTTTCCCAATAAAACAACATCACACATTCGCAAAAAAAAAAAACACGAAAATATCCTGGTGTTTAATGCAATCAATAAATATAAATAAATAAATAGATAGAACAAGTTTCGCTGTTTTCAGACATGACTTTGTATTTAATGCTGATCTGATGCCACATGAATCAAACTGTTTATCAATCTGTACATTTTTTTAAATGATCTCTGTGGAGTGCAAATCAACGCAGTTTGAAACTGATATCAGCACATTTACTCAAGCTCATTGCCATTAACTAATGTTGTTGCAAGTCTGACAAGACAAGTGTTTGTTAAGATTGAATTTGGTCGTGAACCCTTTCCCACATTTTGCGCAAGTGTAGGGTTTTTCTCCCGTGTGACTTCGCAGATGCATGTCTAGAGTGCATTTCTGAATAAAGCCTTTTCCACAGAGCGAACATCGATATGGCTTCTCTCCAGTATGGGTGCGCTGATGGGTATACAGGTGTCCTTTCTGAATGTAGCTCTTTCCACAAAGCGTGCACCTGTATGGCTTCTCACCTGTGTGACTCCGCTGATGTATTGTAAGTTGACTAAAACACCTGAACCTCTTCGAACAGTAGGAGCAAACAAAACGCTTATCCCCTGAAATAGTGTTGGCACTGGATGTTCTTGCGGAGTGTGATGCACTCAAACTCTGTGTGTGACTGAAAGAAGTGTTTGGATCACTGTTTGCCACAGTCTGGTTCACTGTGATTGTTCCAGGTGAGACTTTTGGTGGTTCTGCTTTAGATGGGACTCTTTCGGTTGTGTTTTCTCTATTTCCTCTGTCAACACAAGGAACAGTTTTGAGAGCATCCTTGATGGGTGACAGGCTCACAGCTTCACCACATTGGGTTCCTGTGGTTAAGTGAAAGTAATGTAAGTGAAAGGAAGTCATAAATTATTTAGAAACACTAGCAATTAAAATGTTCCACCATTATAGAACAGTTAGTTCCAGACTTACGTGCTTCACTGTTGTCTTGACCAATCCAAACATCTACTTCCTGTTGCTCCTGCTTTACCATACTAATTGGCTGGTTTACCTCACACTTCTGCTGTGGACTGTCCTTTGACATTGTGACATTACATTATATCTTATATTTGTATAAAATATATAGAAACATTATGTTTTCAACAGCTCTTGTGCTTACAAATATTTAAAGGCAATTAATATGGATATTTACGGCGAGAAGAGAACTTGCTTGGTCTTGCTGAATTACTGTTGGGATGTCTCCTGTTGGGCCTCTACACCTGTTCAAACGATTGTGCGTCTCCTCTTGGTCACATTCACTAGAAAAATAATATAAAAAAGTGTTATACACTAGTGGTCAAAACTTTGGAATAATTAATATTTCTGAACATTTCTGAAAGAAGTCTATTATGCTCAGTAAGGCTGCATTTATTTGAGCAAAAATACCGTAGAAACAGTAATATTGTGAAAAAATATTAAAATTTAAAATAAATGTATTCTATTTGAATATATTTTAAAATGTAGTTTATTCCTGTGATGCAAAGCTGAATTTTCAGCATCATTACTCCAGTCTTCAGTGTCACACGATCCTTCAGAAATCATTCTAATATGCTGATTTGCTGCTCAAGAATAATTTCTTATTATCTTATTATTTTGAAAACATGTAATGAAAACGTATTAATTCATATGCTGATTTGCTGCTCGAGAAACATTTCTTATTATAAAGTTCAAAAGAACAGCATTTATTTTAAATATCATTATTTTTCTAACATCATAAATGTCTTTACTATCACTTCTGAACAATTTAATGCATCCTGGTTTACGGAGTATACATTTCTTTAAAAAAATCTTTCTTACCCCAAACCTTTAAATGGAAATGTATCATGGTTTTCACAAAAAAATATTAAGACGCACAACTGTTGTCAACATTGATAATAATAATAAATGTTTCTTGAGCAGCAAATCAGCATATTAGAATGATTTCTGAAGGATCATGTGACACTGAAGACTGGAGTTTCTTGCAAGAAAAGTTGAACAGTCGTACAGATTGGCTGCAGAGAGTGACCCTCAATAACACTCTGACTCAGTATACCGTATATATATATATATATATATATATATATATAAAACAATTATAAGTTGCAATAATATTTCACAATATTACTGTTTTTGCTGTATTTTTGATCAAATAAATGCAGCCTTGGTAAGCATAAGAGACGTCTTTCAAAAACATTTAAAAATCTTAATTATTCCAAACGGTAGTGTATAAATTAAATTAGTATGGTTCATTGACTTCACTGTGGACATTATTCAGCATGGCTTCATATGTTATGAGACTGCATAGAGTTGCATATATACGATGTTAAATATACAGATGCATATACGTGTGTTATAAAGTATAAAGTGCAATTCCATGCTAAATAAACACCAAAGAAAAGTGGACCTACCTCTTAACAGATGTGAGACTCTCTGGCAGTGTTTGTCCAGTGCTCGTCCACAGCTGGACCTCCATCAGCCTCAGTCTCTTCCTCAGTGCGCTGATTTCACTGCGGCTGCGGGTGACCTCCGACAACAACACTTCACACTCCACATCCACGAGTTTGCTTATCTCTAATACAGCTGTTTGCACAAGTGTTTCCATGATGGAAGCTAACTGAGTCTTAAAAGAGGAGAGAGTGGACACCATCTCCCAATATTTCCACAAACTATCGAAAGGAAGTCACAAACTTTTTTTTTTTTTACAGATATACAAAATCAACTGCTATCTATATACTTTATCTAGTTGTATATTTTAACGTAATAATATTCATATTAAATAAATAGTTTCTACAGATTTCATCTTTCAGCAACGGCTCTCTCTCCTACTATTTCTTGTACGTGTAGCTCAGTGTGAACGATTTACCCAAAATATGGCTCACCAACGCCATCTATTGAAATGGAGCTGTTTGAGTGCGAGCCACATGGTGAATTTCACAAAACCAGACTGTTATAAATCTAATTTTCGATTATGTACTGCTGATATAACGTATTTTTGCGTCCATAGACAAAATGTTTCGGCTCCCAAAACATATAATAGTCACAGATAAATTGCGATTCTTTTCCATACATATTGTGACAACGCTTTATAATGGTCACTGCATAATGAAATGTGCGTGCTTCAATACTCCAAAGTAAAACTAATCGACAAGATCCAACTTGAGACTCCGAGGCCCTGAAATCCACCGAATAGTTAGAAACGGGGCTTGAATCCATTGAGCACTACATTACCCAGAATGCAGCAGTAGACTCTAGAGTAGGCAGCGTTCGCTGCGATTGGATGTTGGTCAGGTCAGGTCGCACGTAAAGGAAATCTCACTAGTAAGAAAACATTCCACGGTGAGTGCAAAATAATTTCGTAGTTTTTACAGCTACCATAAGTGTAAAAGCACGAAGCATCATTTTGACGTGTTATTGTTGCTTAGTGCACTTAAACTATGGCTCACATTTTGGTTCAATACTTGCTTGATTCATTTGACTCAAACCTGCACTGCTCAATCCAATGAAACAGTGCACATTGTTCACAGCACCTGTATTGCAGAGGGCAGATGACTTATTGATTGTTTCCTTTTTCTGGTCATTCTAATACAGTTGGGCGCATGTATTGAGTTCTGCTCTGTCAGTTGACTTAAGCATTGCTTCATATTTGAACTGATTGGCATAATCATCGCCTCTGTTTATTCCAGGGAGTGATGTCTGGACCAAGAGTGGTGGTTTTCCCCTCAGTGGCCGAGCTTGGATCCACTCTGGCCCAGCTGGTGTCCTCTCGAGCAGAGAACGCTCTCAGCACAGGTGAAAGCTTCTCCCTGGGCCTTTCAGGAGGGAGTTTGGTGTCCATCCTGAGTAAGGAGCTGCCTGCTGTCCCGAGTCTAGACTGCAGCAGATGGCTCATTGGGTTCTGCGATGAGAGACTCGTTCCATTCAGTGATCCTGAGAGCACTTATGGCTTATATAAGGTAACTCGGTGCATATTAGAAAGAATGGCAGTCTTTTACTCTTACTAGAAAACCTGTAGAGCTAATCAAGTCAATTCATAGTTTTCAGTCACATGACACAGAGACCTGGAGGTAAAACATCTGTAGAACTGCAGCACAGGCCTGTCAATTTTTGTTCCAGGTCACAAATATTTAGATCACCCCTCAAAATAATTGAGTCAAAGATATGTGAACAAACTGCAAGTTTAGGCCCCTTGCAATCCATATACAGCACCTCCCGAGTAGTTCATTCACTAAAAACAGAGAGACATTCTAAAACAAATAGTTCACCCAAAAATGAAACTTTACTCACCCTCAGACCATCCTAGATGTAGGTAAGTTTGTTTCTTCATGGGAACAGATTTGGAGAAATTTAGCATTACATCACTTGCTCACCAATGGATCTTCAGCAGTGAATGAGTGCCGTCAGACCAAACAGCTGATAAAAACATCACAATAATCCACACAAATCCAGTCCATCAATTAACATCTTGTTTCTAGCTAAAATATGAGTCCTATTCTATATTGCTTTCTCTAGTGAAAAATCTCATCTGAATCAGGAGAGAAATATGCACAGATCATGCATAAGTGAAAACAGTTCTAAACTGATATGTCGGTGGATTTTATTGTGAGAGGGCATTAATGGATGGATTTTACTGGAGGAAGTGCTATTATAGATATTAAAAGATCAAATTTCAATATGCACCTTATTGACGATACATGCTATATACAGGCAAGCAGATGAGCTCAGAATATTTACACAATGTTAAGCGTTTTCTTT